ATAAAATAAAGCTCACGGCTTTGGTCAATCCCTGAGGGATGCACCGTGCACTCGACTTCATTAAGCATCGTTTGGAGGTAATTGAATGCATATCTGACCTTTACAATGACTCGCGGTGGCCTGCCGACGTATCGAGCAATTGTTGCTATCCTTCCAGATATGTCTGGTACCAATTTACCCACCCCAGAGAGATGGAAGGCTTGGTGGGCCACGGGCGCGGGGATCCATTCTACGTGTATGTTGCAGGACGCCTCCGACCACTGCGCAACACGCCCCTCTCAGATCCATCGATAAAAAGGAATATGCTAATTAGGGGCAGATTTCCACTTTTGAGATTGTAAGTTCAAAACATCACCTCTCATTTGTCTTCCTTTTCTCTCCTACAAACCATGTGTGTTTTGTTTTAAACCAATCTCTTGCTGCCTGTTTTAATATAATCCGGTGTAAACAAGGTGTTAGGGAAGAAGCCACAATGGCCATTACTAATGGATCTTGCAGATAAATTCGTCAGTGATCTTTTGTTATCGCTTACGTGTGTCGATGCTATTTGATGTTTAGCAACGATGTGAAAGTCGCCCTGGCTTTGATGTGTCTTCTTTCCCCATCATTTTTTTCGTGCCAGGAGACGCTCAACAATAGAAATGCCGAACGAGCCATAATTCTTTTGTGTGTGGTTTCTGACGCTTCGTCTTCGTCTCGTGTCCTTGCATTCTCGCTGTTTGCACTGTTTCAGTTATAAACAACTGTTCCGCTATAAAACATGCACTTCTGAATCAGATGACGTACTGTAACGCCTTGATTCTCTACGTTGCAATGTCATCTGCTGCAGTAGCTGATCATCACTTCATCATCTTGTCGTGTCATCTACTACCTTAACATCCATGAACAAGGGGCAGTTTTAGTTGCTACTTTAGATAAGGAGTAACGATGAGTGAGAAATGACAAACGAGAGATTTTAAGCAAAGCCCTATTACAACTGATAAGTCCGGGATTCAAATTTTTATCAGTTATCCGATTGTTAAGCATTTTACCAGGTCTTTCTCCTATTGAATATGAAGTGGGTGTTTATGACGTGAATAACATATTTTTCCAGGTTGCTCACCTTGAAGAAGCATTTATGTTCTCGTAAGTTTCTCTTATGTAATTCTTTATCTAGGCAGTTCTAACCTTAAAGTTAGCATTGATAAAATCATTCCTTTAGAAACTAGCTAACGATTTCTTCAATTTTTATCTAAAGTACTAGTGAGCTATAACTACAAGTTAATAGACGTTAAACTATAAAGGATAAAGCTCTCACCGTTGATCAATTCCTGAGGGGTGAGCCATGCATTCGACTTCATTTAGCATCGTTTGGAGGTGTTCGAATGCATATCTGGCTTTTACATAATTCGCGGTGGCCTGCCGATGTATCGAGCCAGTGCTTCTATCCTCCCAGACAAGTCTGGTACCAATTTTCCGAGCCCGGAGGGATGAAAGGCTTGGCGGGGCGTTGGATGGAGGGATCGATTCTACGTGGGTGTTGCAGCGTGCCTCCGAAATAGATGTTAGGACTAGTAAATTATGTTTCCAATAGTGATGACGAATATCCGTCGATTCAAGGAAAAAGCTATAATAGCCCTGCAAGAGTATATAGGTATCACAGTTTTTTTTTCGATTACCATCCATCATTGTCCTTTCGTTAAGGCAACTGAATTGTAACGTAGCCGAAGAGATCCTTTTGGAGAAGCGGCAATTCAAATCATGTTCGAATGTTCGAATATTTGAGAATGTCTAGTTAAGGTCTAATTGCCACAGGTTCTGATACGTAGAGATCAGATGTATTGCTTTATCGAGAATATTATTTGAGAACAGAAGCTATACGTTAGAAATCCTTTGTCGGACCGGCATCCGTTCGTGATCTCTCAAAGGAGCGACCGGATAACAATAGAATCGAAACCTGGTCTCATGTCTAAATAAATTCTCAAAGCCGGTTTGAAGTGATTTGCACTCATAAAACTGACTCATTCGGTTCCCGGTAGAAATAAGCTCAACGATTGTCTGCTCTGCTGACCTAACCATTGCATGTGTGCATATTCAGTAGAATCCAATGACTAGTACTTTACAACTCACAGGATTGTATTCAGTGAATCAAATAAATGTGTCGTATATACTGTTTGTGGCACGGATCTATCTATATTTTCTCGATTTTATTAAATCTTGTGAACTACGTATTTTCTTCATCGATGAGCAAGAATAGTATTGAAACCCAACCACTATGGTACTGAGATATCTGCAAAACTGTGGACCGCAGGTGTCTGCGGTGGGGAACGAACGAGCTATTACCTTTTCCGGTGAGTAACGCGTTCACCACCACACTATGCGGGTCCGTCGTTTTACCTGTATCTCAGCTAGCTCTAGTATTGAAATGGCTCTGAAATAATAGTAGTTATAAAGCGAGATAGTTAGAAACTTAAGTCCAAGTTAAAATCGTTAAGCAGTTAAACAGTTAGCTGACTAGCTGAAGTTAAAATATGTAGTTCTGAAGCAGTATATTCATTTTTCCGATTATAAACCAACCGCACCGCACTGTTAAGTGGGCGGAGCGAGTGCACTATTGCGGCGCGTTCGTCAATCTAATTTGTAAAGTTCACCTCTCTTAATGTGCTAATCATTTCAGAACATGATGTCGTCATACGTCGTTATATGTCTTCTATCGTTGACGTTTATCGCTTCAATTGTCGGTGCGTGTAAAAGTGAGTCACTAACCGATTTACCAACACTCCGCTTGGCTGTCTGTTTCGGTGTTTTTCGGGTTACTGTGGTTTTCGTCTTTCACATTAACTGCATTCCATATCCATCTACCATCCAGCTGTCACACAACCTGTGTACGTATATAGATGTGTGTTTGTGTATGTGTGTGTGTATATATGTTGTGCACAGGTGATTATGTTCATGTAAATAACAACAGCAAAGCGGGTCGTTGATTAAATTGGCTAGTGAGTTTACTGTACTTTTATCAAGTAATCTATAGCAGTGGTGTAATCCAGCTGTTCCATCCGATTATGAAGCTTTTGAGTTCTTTTATAATTCCGTTAACGAAACGCTCTAAATAAAGGCGTCTTAGTTTCTTTCCTAACCAGGCTGTAGATCGAATCGTCTCATTAAAACAAAGAAGACGGACTTATGTCACTTTTCTTCTCACATTAGAACACGATTTGTCACGAAGACATTTCGGCTTGCTTCAATATTTCATGACTGTGCTGATGCAAGCTCATTCTGTTTTGTTGATATGCACTTTTCGTCCGACAATGTTCCACTTGACAGGTCTGCCGTTATTTCAAAACGTTGGGCCAAGAGCGTATATTCTACAACAACGAGCGGAATGTAAGGGTACAAAGGTGTACGATATAGATAACGTCCAGGTAGGATTTTTTGCCATCACAACATTGTATAGTATATGAAGCGAAGCGGTTAGAAGGGTTCCCTTATACACATAAGTTCATTGGTTCGAGTCCCTATCGTCGCCTCACTAACCCCTACCCCATCCCTTTGAAGTTGGTAAATTCATGCCTGTATGTTCATTATAAAACACTAACTGTATACATTGGTAGACATCAAAAGTTACTGAGCACGCGAAATATACATTCAGTTACCTCTACAATGCTACAGAGTTAACCAGATTTATGGCTCATCCCTAAGGGACCGTTTAACGCCTTCAATGCCAAACCCATTTTCATTTATTCTTCATCTTATGGAGATCAATATTAGCCCTTCCACTATCACAATATTGCGAAAGCTGTATGTGAAACTCGTCCAAAGAAAAAGACCATTTGAGCCGAATTTTTAGGTTGAGCGAACACAAGAGCAAAGACGAAATAAGTTTTTAACGAAAGTCTTTGAAATTCGCTAATAGTGAGACATATCCAGTAAACAAAGTAGAGTAACGTTGAAAATATATGAGCTTTCCGACTAAAAACGACGCCTTTCTTTAATAAACAAGAAAAACAACTTCTTTTCCAAGTGTTAACGATAACACGGACAATTTGGGACGGCCTAAGGTGCAAGGAAAATGTTTAGTGATAAGACAATCAGAGTAAAGCATTAATTTGGACGAGTTATACCTAGGCGCAAAAGTTAGCTGAGAGTAAATTGCAAGTGGACTACTTACTAGAAAAGGTTATAACGAGGCTTTTAAAGCATACTTTTACATATATAAGTCTTCTTAGAACACGTTCTACCACAGTAGTTGTTTCATATCCAAACCTCTAACTATCACGTATATAGTGCTGAGATATTTGCAAAAATCCGGACCACAGGTGTATGCGGTGGAGAACGAACGCGCGCTATTGTCCTTACTGGGGAGTAGCGCACTTCACCACATCATCCGGGTCTTTCGCTTTGCCTGTCTCTCAGCCTCTAACTATCATTCACAAACACCATCTAACTAGTTCTCGCCGATGATCGGTTTCTGTTCATCGTCTTTTTTTCCTGAAATCAAATCCTTCTCAAATATCATCTCCAGATTTGTTTCAATTATCCAGCTCGTTTCTTTTTTCAGTTCAATCCATGTAATCTCTGTTTACCAAGTTCTAATCTATCAAAATACTTTCAGTATGTTGTTGTTTTATCAAAGTACTTGTAAAAAGTTGATTTAATCGTCGTTTAAAAATTTTTTCGCGTTATTTACATCCTCACAGCGTCAAAACTTCGAAAGATAGGTTTTTTTACTAAATAAAATCTGGTGGTCACTATTTTTAATGAGATCCTCACAACCCTCTCTCTCTTTCTCTCTCCCTTCCTTTAAGACAAAAAAAAGAAAAGTTCTGAGGGAAAGCTCTTAAACCGCGCTAAGATTCAAACAACCCAGGAATTGGTTACTCTGCCTAGAAATATGAAGCACATCACGTTTATACCAGTAGGAATAGGTAAATATTTGTTCGATGTAACTGCTATTATATTTAAATGTCATTTTAGATAAACTTTAAATGAATCTAAGCAGCGTAGATGAGCTTCTTCAGGATATGGAGCAGTGCAGGGAAGCGTGTCGGAGGTTCGACTGCGCGGGTGTCAATCTGTTCCAACTGGACGAGTTCGTCTTTAAATGTGAAATATTGAATTTTATCAGTCATTTATCACCGGCTACCGGAGCCGCATGTTACTATGCTTCTGATAGCTGGTCCTATGGAGGCGGATACGGCCAAGGGCGATAGAAATGTGATATGCTGTGATAAGACATATGATATGATATTATATGATATGATAATCTAGTAAGAAAGATTTTCGAATATGAATAGCATTGGCTTCCATTTTTAGAAAAGATTTAATAAAGCATTGTAAATCTGTGAAGCATACACAGACATAAAATGCGTTTTATGCAAGATTACCTTGCGACGTGCCATTAAGATATCTGAATTCGAGTTATACAGTCTAGTCGAATATTCGAATGTGTCTTAAGTCGATCCGTATTCGATAGCTGGAGTCGTCAGAAGAGAGCGATTAAACGTCGGACAAAATCCACCAGTTGACATGATGTTAAATGGAGACATTGAGGTCGGTCTGAGTTATCGATGTGGAAAATGTAGGATGAAAAGACTGCTATTGCCTTTCTAACTGTTATAATGAATTCTCGTGATTTCGTAGAGGATTGTCACAATTACTGCACCAGTACTTGCCATAGTATCTACATAGTAATGTGTAAATTGTCAATTAACCAGTGTATCGTTATGTATGCATAACATCCAACGGTTTAGCGCATCATCGTAGCTGGGAGATGTTCCTGGCTGTCGGGTTGCTATGTACGGCGGAAGGATTCGACCCCATGGCAGAGTCTCACAAGCTGAAGAGTACGGCGCTTTCCTTAGAAAAGCCAGCTAAGAGCAAACCAGTTCCAAGGATCACCATCGTCTTAGTATTGAACCAGTCAGATGATGGCAAATCTCCATCTGATCCACAAAGACTGCGACTGCCTGTGGTGGCGACGACCTGGGGCAGACTTTAGTCAGGCTGACGTCGGGATTCCAGGGAACCACGATGTCTAAACCAGCTAAACTCCGAAAAATCAAGATTATTCAGGGGTCCGCAAAACCAGTGAAGACAGGCCATCCAAACATGCAAGTAAGCATCCAAGTACATTGCATGGGAAACTCCACTGGGCTTCCAAAAAGTACTAACGTTTTCTAACTAAGAATTTCATTATTTTAAGTTTAAACGGTGGTCGAAAGCTGCAGACGAAATTCCTTAACTTAAGGGCACAGTGTTGTTGATCTTCTTCAGAGCTTCAAACTTGCAAATACGATCAGAACTGAAAACACCCCAAACCGAGTCACAATCTCCACGGAAATCGTTTTAGGAGGAACTGAATCATTTAGAGATGTCACCGACTGGTGCAAAAGATTTTCGATCAAAAAATAAAAGTCGCATATCAGTTTACGTCGCCGCTAAAAAGACCACAACAAATCTTGTCTTTGTTGGTCTAATAAAACATGTGGGAATGACTTTCGTTAGACATTCACTCTTGAAATTCGACTCTTGAAAAGCGCAGTATCCAGTGAACCCAAGCAATATCATACGCATGGCTGCTAGTTCAGTCCTACAATGGACCACTCAATCCTCCAATTCTTCCGGGTTAGAAAGATTAGCACGCCTGATGAAAGTTCTCTTCGATCCAAAAAGCTCGCAAGAATCTATAGTGAATATCTAGAAATGTTAAAGTGGAACTGCCACAGAATTTTGAGCAGAATCAACTCGCGGAATGCACTCGTTGCTATCCTCTATCTTCCTCAAAAAACCAAAATCCTCACGATGCAACACTCCTACCATACTAAAATCCAGTGATATTCGTTGATGATGGGCGTGAAGAAAGGAATGGAATGAAAGACGTATAATATATGAGAGCAGTTTGTAGAATTGAGTCATTTGGAAAAAAACGAAAAACAAAAAGGATCCTAAGATATGTGCAAAACCTGGAGCCTAGCGCAGATGCGAACCCACGATTATTCATTCAGGGAGCTAACACTTTCACCATCCACACGCCCACTATGTGGGTCTCTCTTTTCGCTTTTCTCTTAGCTAGTTTTCTATCTGCCAGTGCTATCGGCAATCACTCGTCAACAGGATTGATGTGGAGAGCCCAAATCGGCATTAAACCCAGTAAGGTTGAAGGTGTAGCTGAAATCACAATGTTTAACTTTTCTTATTGCCTGTTTTTTTTCTTTATGGCAGGATATTTTGTGAATTACAATCACAAGGATGAAAAGGCCAATGAACATACAGTGAATAAGAGTTCAACATAGTGAGCAAAAGCAATTTTCTGCAATGGTGCAGACCTTAGAATAAGAGCGAGGTATTCACTCATTCCATTGAGTTCAATAATTTTAACCACATTCGAAAAATTCCTTTGGTTTGGAACTTTTTTATTTTATATAACCCGTCTTCACGTCTGCTGTGCGGGTTCCAGCACTTCCCACATTCAATTCCTTTCGTCTCATCCATTGTCCACGATAATTTTCATAGAAAGACATTGATAAAAGATCACCATCTACATCACTCGCAATCTTTTTCAGATTTTAATACACTCAAGCGGTCACCGCTAAACCCTCCATTCGTCCCTGTCCAGCGCCACAGCTGTCCAGTCGGAGTCCGCTAACTCAGAGAATATATAGAAAGTCATGCTTCAATTCCCGAAGGGTTCGTCATGAATTTAATCCCATTTGCAGCAACGTAAAAATAATTAAGCGCTTTTGAACTTTACAATGACTTGAGGTCGCTACCAATGTGTCAGGTCAGTGTTTCTATCCTCAGACAAGTCTGGTTCTAATTTTGCCCGATCCTTCAAAGGCCTAGCTTGATCGAGACATGGAATCAAGCCAAAAACTAATACTTCAAAAAAAAACTAATGTTTGTATTGTAGGAAAACGCTAACCATTGCGATTCGGCCCACTTTGTGTGAAGCTTTCTGCTTTTCTGTTTTAAATGGGAGAAGACACGCGTATAGTGGGGTGTTGCGCACTTTCTGTTAGTTTGATGACGGTAATTTGGCTAATTCAACATGTAGAAGGTAATTGGCATACATGGAAGCACATGTAAACCCGTTTTTTAATGAATGTGATTGCATGTCAACGAAAAACATAAGACCATCAACTCAGCAGACACAAATTTTTTTTCCAGACAGCTATTTTTTTCGAGCAGGTACATCTCTTTTCTTGGGAGCGCCAGCATTTCTAGCACGACCGGCTTAGTAATTAAGGATTGATTGTTTTACTCTCTGGCATCTCCTGATTGGGTGTGCAATCAAAAACCCTTTGGTAGATTGCATAATTAAAAACTAAAAAAAGTCAATCTTTTTGTATTCTTTCTTGATAAGCTTGCACGAGGTTGATAAATATATTTATTTTCGGCTAACGTTTCGACGTCTTCGTCTTCCTCAGAGCCGGTGATCCGAGTCGATGGTCCATGCTTGTTGTCTTGACGTGAAAAAGACGTGCGAAACAAAGGACCCGCATGGTGTGGTGGTGAACGCGTTACTCCCCGGAAAGGACAATAGCGCGTTCGTTCCCCACCATAGACACCTGCGGTCCAGAGTTTTGCAAATATCTCAGCAACGTTGTGGTTGTATTTCGCTTAGTAACCTGCCATAAAAATTATAGAAGGCAGAAAACAAAACGTTAAACATTAAAAAAAGTCAGTTTAGTTGACAACCGCTTCTTTAATCAGATAACTCAGATTAGTACTTGTAGAGGTTTAATTGCTCTTCGCGAACTGTGTAAAGGATTCTCAGCCACTTTTTGCCGCCCTGAAAGTCATAAAACTCTTTTTATACCTAGTTTTTATGTAACGGAGTTAACCATTATTTCAGGCTGCACCCTTGTTATTCGTTCGAAGTCCCCTGAAGTCCAGAGAGAATGAGGAGTCTGGTGACGAGTTTATTGCAACAGTTGTTCATTAGTGAAATATAAGAATCTGTAAATATTTACCACTCAACCGTTCTTGGATTTCGAATTGCAATTCACAATAAGAACTCCATTGTACAGGAGAATCGCCGGAGATACGAATGAGATCGATACACCTTTATAGAAACCTAGCCAAAAGCTAGCCTATGCCAGAATGATCCCGTTTTTCTTAATAAAACCTAGAACGTAGCGGTGGTTATGATGTGCTCGTTCCATAACCTTCACTTTAGACCAAAAAAGCAGGCTCCGAAAAGATATAAAGTTGGCCAGATATGCACTCAGTCACCTTTAAGATGCCACGAATGAGCCTGACATTATAGTACATGCTTTATGAATTGCTCGACAGCGAGAGCTTTTCACCATTTTGCTAGGGTTTTACCAATCACTACTGCTACTAATATCATGGATATTAGTGTCATTGATATTAATACGACTGCTAAATAGCACTATTCCAGCGAAGAATATCCATATGCTTCAGGGGAGCGGGAGGGAGGGAAGTAAACCTTGAATCAGCTGTGCCGGAAAAACCTACGTCTTTTCCACTCAGAAATCTGAGGTTCCTACAGCTACCCGTGAGTATAAACTACCGAACGCCCCTCTGTTCTCTTGTAAGTAGTAAAGTGCCGCTCATCGATATTCCCGCACCACACGTAATAAAAATAAATTGCTTCACTTCATGAGAAAAATGTGACGCATTTGATATTCCTCGAGCTAACGGAACCACTTGGACAGCCTTCATTGACGACAGAGACGAAATAGAGAGACATTACTAAACCATACTCGAAGAGCAAGAATGCCATCTAGTGAAATCAGATATGTAGGCGAAAGTGATGTAAATTTTCAACTTATTATTTACTGCCACGACCAACTTTCTATTAACCTCGGCATTGATCAAGTAATTTTCTTCGTATTTTTGTTGAGCAAACGCGAGGTGTTATTATTCTTTG